ACCCCTTTAAATGCAGCCGTTAGCAGGACGAATCCAGTCAGACCTTCCAATAAATACCTAACTGAACTTTTCTCGTTTATGCAGTAGTTGTGGGTCATAATTCTTAAACACATTAAAGTAAGCACAAGTGAAACGTATTGTAGAGAATTCACCTAGGGCGTTGCCAGGTGTTGTATGAAGATCAGGGAACGAAAAATCGACTCCGTCATCATAGATTGGGGATTCGGAGCAGGGCTTCAGAGCAAAGGGTTTTTTCATCGCTCCGCTCTAGCCGCGCTCCGGCATTTTATTTCGCTCCAAACTCCGCTCATAGCTCCGCTCCAGCTGCCAACAAACACCCTCTATTTATTTACTTACATATCGAGCCCTAACCGAAAGGAAGTTGAAAAAAATGCCGCTTACCTGTTTTGGCGGTTAGGTCTCAACAAAAAGAGTTATGTATGTGTTTTTTAATGACTTTTCAAGAGAGCAAAAAACTGATTCCTGGTGCCAAGAAGCAATATTTTGCAATGTATTAAAAAAATTATATTAAAAATGTGTAATTGATTTATGAAAAAAATGATATTTTTTTTTTACCATTTACGACGTGATCAACATTTGCGCCGCTTTAAAGTACATAGCTGTTTTTATACACGATTTAAATTTGCTTTTGGCGGTATGGGATCGTATGCAATTTGTACATATGTAATACTGCCGTTAGGCCTAGATGCAATAGTTGCGTTTCAAATGCTTCACGATTCGCAGGTGTTTAAACAGGAAGTCGTTCCAGGTGACCACCTTCCATAAGGTATATTAATGGAGAAAACAGCTGTTACTGCAAATCGTGAATATCGTGAAGCATCTGGAACGCAACTAATGTATAGAAGTTGAGGACTCGATTAGTCAACTGCCCTTTGCTCCTGTTATGTAATGAAAAATGGTCAGAAGCATTTTTATTGGAATTCTGTAATAAAAATTAATCCAAAGTGGGGAGTGGACACATACATATTTTGTAAAAACCATGATATTGCCAGAGATGCGAACTGTTTTTTGGCCAGCGTATTAACTTGACCGAATGCACTTTTTACTTTTGTTTGTTGTCGAATTTCATTTGCAAGCGATCAAATTAAATAGTAGAATCTATTTATATACGCTGCGTTTCTTTATACATTCCGGATAATCCCATTTCACAGCCGGAATAAACAGAATGCGTTTGAAATATACGTTAACATATCACCAGGAGCGTTCTAAAGAATAAGTAAACAAAAAAGTTTATTCCAAACGTTCAGAATGAATAAAGAAATTCAGCCATAGTGTAAGTGGTATGTGGATACTAGGGATGTTAATTTTTCCGCTTTTTACGATCCCGGGATAGGTAATTTTTTAACCTGATAAAGTTAGAAGAATGAAATTCGAGGATGTTATCGAGTTTATATAAGGCCTTAACATATAATTTTTTTAAAAAACAAATATTGCGAAATTTCAAAGATAAAATTTTAAAAGGACATTTGCAATACCTACTAGTCCTTATGTACCAAAAAATGGAATCTGAATAAATTCTACAGAATTTCCTCTTTACCTATACTTCTACTCTAAGCAACATTAACATTTCACTGCATTTTTTAAATCATTTTTGGATTACTGACGTCAAAGTGAAAAACTAAAAAAGCAATTTTACTATATTTGGCCCATGTTTTAGCGAATATATTAATTTTTGTGTGTAAAATTTATTATGTAGCTATTATGTAGCTAGACATTTATAAAAAAAATAATTATTATTAAATAAAGAAATGAGGTTTCTATTCTTGCCATCAGTGCAAATTCCAAATCCCGAGAATCCCGGGATTTTTCGGACCTAAAAAAGGCCAGCATCCTGGGATCCCGGGATTAACATTCCTAGTGTATGCATATGTATTTAGTTGGATTATAATTATTTTTTACATTGAAATCAAAGCGCACATCAGATTCGCCTGCGATCAAAAACAGTTATAAGCAAGTAAGCGTATACCCGTTTCATTCAGAGTATTTCTAGTACTGCGGGCACATAGCTGGTTTTGGCCAGTTCAAACCAAAAGATATATAAGAAAACGGCAAATGCGGTAATGTGGGCAATAGTGTTAATAAAATATGCCATAAAAAAATTCACATAACTATTTTTGTTGGCGCAGCGACGAAATGTATTATGTAGAACAGCGTATCAGCAAAATGCAGAACCGCGTATGTGAAGTTTTAGAAATCATTTTCTGGAGTGTAAAAACACCATATATGTAATACTTCTATATTGGCAGTAAGCTAACTTCTCAATGTGTAAGCATTCCGAAATCAATGCGAGACAGCCCACCATGCAAAACATGAGAAATAGGCAACAATCGTCAATGGCAACAAATTGGCGACTCACCGATTTATTGCTGTGGTGACAAATCGGCAACATCACTTCGTTCATGTCAATTTGGAATAAAAAAGTTCTCAAAAATTCCGAAACTTATGAATATGGCGTCAATAGTATTGGCCAAAAGCATCTAAATTATGCCCAAGGACAAGATTGAAAAAATAGGAAGTCTCACAGCGAGAAAANGCACCCATATTTAAAAATGGTTATCTTTTTTTATAAAGAAATTGCACTTCTGGCTAGTATATTTCAGGACGAATGGATAAGGATTGAGCCAAGAGCTTGTGTGAGCAAATCCAATTTTTGGCAGCCAATGTCAGTTACGNATCAGCAAAATGCAGAACCGCGTATGTGAAGTTTTAGAAATCATTTTCTGGAGTGTAAAAACACCATATATGTAATACTTCTATATTGGCAGTAAGCTAACTTCTCAATNTACAAATTGTTGGCCCGGCAGTCTAGTACTGTTTTTGTCAATGTATCGTGTACTTGAGTGCCGTTTTTGTATATGTATTGTGTACATGTTTATTTATAAACGTATGTGTTCCTTTTCTTTCGTACGTGTTTATTGATATATCTGTACTGTAGTGTTTTCGGACGGTACTAGCTCTTACTGCCAATATAGGAGTATTACATATATGAAAAGCACCCATATTTAAAAATGGTTATCTTTTTTTATAAAGAAATTGCACTTCTGGCTAGTATATTTCAGGACGAATGGATAAGGATTGAGCCAAGAGCTTGTGTGAGCAAATCCAATTTTTGGCAGCCAATGTCAGTTACGCGGTTTTGCAGAATGACGATACGCGGTTTTGTACTTTAAACGACGATATGTATGTACAGCTATTTATATGATCCCAATGTACTTTGTCCTGTAAATAAAATTACAGATACTAAGTGATCGTTTTTTATGACCGTTCAAATTCACGTGGCAATTATCCTTGACTCCTTTGCCCTGATTCGGAGTCTTCGCTATCTCCATAATATTTGTCACTGAAGCCACCAATTGTGCAATTTTTTTTTTTTTTTTTTAATTTGTATGGAAAGGTTGTCCCAGCCACATTTTCTCCTTGTAGTGGCGATGCTGACGCTGTGATAATAGACAATTTGAATTTGAAGTAATTTTTGAATAGCTGCTGAAAGCACAGTTAATCTAAGCTTCAAATACACTACAAGCCTCGCGATCATGTGCGCTATATTTGCATGTATGTATTCTGAATACGAGCCAAAACGAGCATTTCAAAATATGTAAAAACCTGCTTTACCTACCATTGCCAGTACGATCGCAACAACTCACCAAATTATAACCGCAAAAATACATTTGCAACTATTGTGTGCGTCCTCACATACCTTGAATGAGATGGCGATTGCGCCTTCCAACCATATACTAGCGTTCCGACGGCAGTCGGGTCTACGTAACCGGAACGGCCTAGATTCATATATACATATATGGCCAAGGATTGTCGCTCCTGTATCATTCGCCAGAACCTCTTTTGGGGAATTTGTATGCTATTACAACAACAACAACCTTCAATTATGAGTATCTTAGCAAAAATTTCAATGAGCATGTGGATGCTGCATTTTATGTAGACAATTTAATTTCAATTCTTAAACTGGATTAAAGCTTTTTAATAAACTTCGTTGGTGTTATTTTTTATGTTTTTCGAAAATGTGTTGTGTATTCATAGATTTGTATCTCTTATATGCTAACAGAACATTACCTCATATCTGGTTTAAAAGTTTTATTCACGAACTAAGCTAAAATAACTAAATAAACATTTAAATAAGTGTTATTTGTGTATGTATGTAAGTATATGATCATTTTCTATTGTATGTATTTGGTCAATTTTTAAATCGTCTTTAACACAGATAATAAAACACTACAGCATAGTTCATATTATTCACATTAGATATTTCACTTAGTTTTGTTAATTTTTACAGCTGATAGCGCACCTCGAAAATAAAAATAATAATATGAAAACAACATTCAGAATAAACCATGGTTTCATAAAAATTCAAATAAAATGACACCAATAGAAGTTAAACAAATTAATAGAATTCTAACAAATCACACTTTCTGCAAGGAGACATTATCAAAAATGAATATTTTTCCAAACCCAAATTGCGAATTTTGTAATACAATTGAAAATACTGATCATATAATTTTCAAATGTAACAAACATCACAATTCACGTGATAAATACCCAATACACAAAAATACTTCATCATTAATTGAATTTCATCAAGATACTAATGGCAAAGCATATAAATCTATCACTAATATTTTAAAGGACATTGAAATTGATTTATAATTTTATAATTTAATTTAAAATTGGAGATGCCGTTTTAAGCTTTTTTGCTGGCCAATTAATTCTTCTTAAAAAAAATTAAAAAGAAATTTTAAATTAAAAAAAAAAAAAAAAAAATATGAAAACATACAAAAATTAGTTTATAAACATGACTTTGCATACAGCGAACTATATCTAGCAAACAATTGCGCCAAGCTTAAATTGGTTTTCTGTATGCACACATATATTAATGATTAAATAATGTCCCTCGTTTAAAATTGTTTTTAATAATATTAATGTCTTTTTAGGCTGACATAAATTTTTTTCATAGATTTAAGCAATTAAAATTTGTAACTACAATAAATATTTTACAATTACTATTACTAAAAGGTAAGTGTAATTATTATGTGAAGCAAATCAGTAACTCTGCCTTAGTACCGAGTAATTTTAATAACATTATAATTATGTAAGTTGTATAAAGGCATTTCTAATGTTACTCCGCCGCGCTAACACCACATACATCTGTATGTATGGTTATGATCGATTGATTTAGATATTCAAATGCAGAGTGTAAACATATATCCAAGTACTTGTTCACGAATGTATGTACTTATAAAGGAAATACTTTTATAAACTTCGCTGTTAATTAATGTTACACTGAATACTCTTCACAATCATTATGTACAACTATCAGGATGCTGACTTTGTTTTCGTTTAGATTTTGGCTCTTTTGAGTGTTCAATAGATGGTCGCCGTGGATTGCCCAATGTTACGAGAGCACTGGCTACGGCCAAACCAGCCGACTGTCCGGCAGGCGCATGCTGCAAGCCACCTTCAGTTATGGGATTAATAATAGACATTAAACATTTAAAATGAACAAATGAAATATGTATATAAAATTACACACCTGTTGGTAAACGAACTAAAAGTGATAACACAGCAGCTCGATTGCCACTGCAGGGCTCCAGTGCTATAGGACTGGGGCAATCCTTATTTAATTCGAAAAAAAATATACATATTATTAACATTTAAGCCAATAATATAATGGCTACATATGTACATATATGAAAGATATTGGTTATTTTATCTGTGTGAGGAATGTACATACCTTTTTACGCTTTTTGGTCAGATGAGTTACGCCCTCCATGGTATGTGTTAAATCAATAGAATCTCTATTTTCAATTTCCACTACAACCTGTCCATAGAATTATAGAACAAGACGAAATGATAGTTAAGTATATTCACACATATGTATGCATAAATATGTGTTGGGATTATGACTTATTTTAGATTTAAGGCCCCATGTGCAACCCCCCATTGTCCTTAGTCTTCAGCCTTAGTGATTAATGGGGATCAAGGGGACTGATACCAGCCATAATGGAAAGCAATGGCAAAGATGCATATAGCAAAAAGGCTAGATAAATTGTACTTTTTTACTGAAGTGAATTATATTTCCAATTAATATACTAAACACACCCTAAATATACCACTAGCATCCTCCAGTTTTTTTTTGAAAAAAAAAATAAAATAAAATAAAAATTGTTGTACTATATATCGATCCTTGTGTCCTTGTGTGTGCAAGACGCCTGCACAAAATTAGCGTTAAAGCCATAACTACTAAATATACGTCACAACGTAAAAAGGGGCATTTTCAGGAAACGCGTTTAAAAAGTTTTCCGTTTAACTACTCTCACTATGCAGAAAAGTGTAGCATGAATATAATAAGTAATTCTGCATTATTAGCTGAAAAATATAATTTTTTTAGTTGTGACGTTATCATGATTAGGGCTGGCAAAAATATAAATCACCAAAATATCGTCACCTGAAATGCAAAAAGACGTAACATCACCGTAAATGAAATGGAAAAAGTCGTACCTAATATTTTAATTATTTTTTTTCATAAAATTATGTGGGGAGTTGTAGTTCGATAAAATCCATCCTATAAATCAAAAAGCGAATTTGAAATTTTTTTATTAGTTATGACTTTTTGCATTTCAGCGATGAGGTTTGTTACGTCTTAAATATGCTAAATCAATGAGGTTTTATTTAATTTTTACAATTATTTTATTCAATAATCTCGGAATAACGGCGTAAAATAACATGCTTTTTTAGTTTTATCAATCGAAAATGACCTTCTCTGGCCATTTAAAATTATTGAATAATTCGAAACACTCCTTTCCACATTCGTAGATGTAGTTGGACAAACTTAATTCTGATAGGGAGTACTTCGACAGATCTTCACTCCTAGTTGCGGAGCCAGTAAATAATATATCTTTTATATTAGCAATTGTGGTATAGCCAGAGTCTCTGTCCAAAATTCTTTTAAGTTTTTTTAAATATACCTATTTTTGTGTTAAATAACTGGTAGTGCTCTTTCACAGTTGTCACAATTTCCCAACTGTCTTTTAATGTCAAACCTTTTATTTGAAGATTTTTTATACCTACCAAGGCAAATTTATATAAGATGGTGTTACTAGATCAGCTGATTTTGTGTATGTGTTTCGCCTTACGGCTTCTTATATCAAATTGAAAAATTTTGTTTGAATTTCCACACACACACAGATTTTGACAGTTTATGCCGCCAAAGCAAAAACAAAATACATGTGAATTTTTGTTTTTGCTCTCCTGCTATCACCTTATATCAAGGCACATTAAACAGTTAGTATCAGTAGAGCAAAAACAACATTTGCGTGTATTTTGTTGTTGCTTCAGGTATCGAAAGTGTCAAAAACTGTTCTGAATTTTTTCTTCTAAATCAAAGTGTGCCATGTGAAATATAAAAAATTATAAAAAATAAAAAATTGAAATTGGAAAAAATAAAAATTGATGCAACTTTCTTTCCTAGTAAATTTGTTTGCTTCTCGAAACATTGATCCATCCTTTGCAAGGCCCAGTAATCAGCGGTCGTGCTGCCAAAAGCTGCTATTCAATCGCTTGTTTTGTATGGAAAAAGGTTTCACAAGCAAATGGATTTTAACAATTCAGAATTTTTGTGAGATTTTTGTGATACCTACCATCAACGCCTTAATGAACGCCAAATCTGTTCAGATTTCTCCAAGCTCTAGCAGTATGAATGTATACTTGTATTGTATTATCAAGGCGAATTCATACAAGGTGGTAGCAGGATTATAAAAAAAAAAAAAATGTATGGATGTGCCTTGTTTCACGAATCTATCGTCCAATTTTCGCCGAAAATTTATGAAATGTTGCCAAATATGCACGTAAGTCTAATGTATGCAAAAACTAACAAAATTGCCAAAAAATATGCAAAATAAGCTTTTTTAAGCATTTGCATTTTTTGCCAGCCCTAATCATGATATGTGAAGCAGAAATAAGAACTGAATGTGCTAATCGAAATGTAAACAATTTTGTTTCGGAACCCTATAAAACAGCTATATGTTTTCCGAATGATACACCGCAATAAAGGATTTAAAAGGTTTACATGCATATGTATAAATAAGTTAATCATAAACTATAACTTTTGAATTCAACATTACAGAATAATGTATAGAGATAATTTGCAGATTTTGTTTACCTTTAGGTTGGCATAAATTTCGTAAAAATCTATCAACAAATAAAAAAGTTATATGTAAATACATATGCACGAAAGTGTACGATGTTACATTCCTACAACGTTCTCATATTAAGTGGTCTTATTTTTATGATACGGTCTAAAGAATACATATATAAATATATTTGTACCTGTGAAAATGGACGGCTCGCCATTTGTTCCATTTCGACAAATAGTCGCTGCCTTCTGCGAAACATATCGTATTTTTGCTTGATTTTCCATAAGACAGCTGCCATAAGCAGGAGCAATAAGAAGCATGTTGAGAATGTTATGAAGAATTGTTGTAGATTAAGTTTTGGATATTGCGAAAAAGCTATTTGAATCCAAATTGGTGGTCGAAAATCATGAACAAATACATAGAATGTTGTTATGGAGCTGTTATCTTCTAGCGAATGCCCAAAAGAGTATTCCGTTTTGGGAAATCTCTGCCTGAACGTGGAGCAGTTAATACCCATAAATAGAAGCTTTTCCGGGAAGCCAGCACGTTTAACGGATATATCCATTTTTGCAGGTACACTACATGTTATTGAGAAATCAGCATCAATCTCGGGCTTTTGTGGCGAATTTCGAAAATTTATCTTCGTAAAATGTCTATCCTCTTTCTTTGATAGATTAAAGGTAAACTGATAGTCTATGGTTAATTCGTAGTAGCATGACGATTTCATTGGGTCGCCATTGTAATGATTCTGCGTATCGCATTTTTCGCAGTGATCGCCAACTATGCCTTTCGTATTGCAAAAACACTTTCCTGTATCAGATTGACAGTTTTCACCTTGACCATTACACTCACACTTTTCACAGTGACCGCCATTAATTGGATTTCCCCAATAACCTTTGCTACATTTTTCACAATGTTGACCGGTGGTAAGATTCGAACATGGTTGCTCACAATTTATATAATCAGGACAGTGAGAGTGGCCATTGCAATTACAACGTGGACAAGAAGTAAAAAACCAATGTTTTAGTTGGCACTCGTTCGAATCGTAAGGCGACAATGCTCCCCCAGCAATGCATTTCCCCAAGCCCGTATTCGAACCATCGTCACACCAACCACACGCCGGATCATCCAAGCATTGAGCACAACTGTTATAGAACCCACATTGTGCACTGGACTGTGCAGCGGTTGACTGGCCGATAGCAGTGTTTGTGGGAGGCGAACGACATTTTGCTGCGTGAGTGGTCCATTCTCTACATTGTCCGTATGGAAAGCTGGGCGTGTATGCATTTCGATCGACACACCTCTGCTCATTCTGGCACCAAATGCAGTCATCTTCAGTGCAGTTGTGACAATTTGTCAACGTGGCACACGGTTGTGGACAAATGATATCGTCTCGGGTGCGATTGAAATGTACATTATTGGAAAGATAGGGTCTGCAACGATTATGCTCGGCATCCCAACTGCAGGCCATATTTGCGGAGCAGGCGTGACAGCTGTGCAACTGTTCACAAACTGTGGTAATCATGAAATCTTCTATTTTTGGACAATTGTCGAGGTGTTTAATATTCGCACTTGGCGTGGCTGGCGGCACAAATTGTTGGTGTTGTTGTTGTTGGTGTTTCTGTTGGCTATTAGCTTCATAGAATAATGTTGTTATTGATGTGGTCTCACGACATCGCTCCCTTGCGCAAACACCATTTCCACAATAAGTACAGCCGTATGAATTCGCCACGCATGATTGGCAATTACTGAGTTCTTGACAACGTAGAACATCATTCAGTAATTCTGAAGTCATTGTGAGGCGACTTTTTGGTGGGCAAACTACATAATCGTATGGTTCTCGACCGAATATCGCTGAACGTTGTACCTGCGTTATGGGAATGCAGCGCATCTTTTGCACATCCCATATACATTTGACGCCCGGACGACCGTTGGTGCATTTTTCTTGCTTTGTATAAAAACTGCAGTAACCAGGCCTGAATCGTAACATATCATTTAATAATTGGCCGTTGAAACCGCCATAAATATAAAGTGCGTCCTCGAACACAACAGCGCTATGACCAAACCTTAAATAAGAAAACAAAGCACATTTTATATATCTGTGAGCATTTGGCAAAACAATTTAACATTCCGACATTTAATGGTTTACAACTAAATCGTTGGGTTTTCAAACAATAATTTTGATTATGGTTGTTGTCGTTGACTCGAATAATTTTGACCGTGCCGAACTGCCATCAGCGTTGACGATTTCGATAACTATTGACACACCTTCAGCATTGGCAAAATTATATTGTTGTTGACATTGACTTCATAAAAACTTTATAAAAAAACATATTTGCTCGAAGATGTGTATTAATTTCATTCAATTTGCTGGTAAGTTCTCGTCGTCGCAATATATTTACACAATACCGATTTGCACTTGAAGTCACGTCGATAACGACGTTAAAGAAAACATTACAACTTTCAAAAAATCATAAGATGTCTTTCCAAATAAAAGCTTAACAAAAATCCTTATTTTGGTTGTTAGTGTTACCGACAGAATAGGAGAATCATGTATTGTGGAACCATTTCCGTCAACCCTTGTCAAATTTCATTTTCGTTATTAATAAAACTATAACTGACGTCAAAACTTCTAATAGTCTTTATCGAGAGTTCACTGATACAGTGGAACATATAGAAGAGCCAACAGAGTCGAAATGTTTGCGAATATTTAAGATTTTTGTTATTTTCGGCATTTTCATTTGAGGTCTCGCTGTAAAGGGAACCATTTAAAGAATATTCTTTTGCAGGCATCGGTACCTACTGCCTTAAGCCGGATTTCCACTAGGCATTAAGTGACAAAAATTTCAATGGTAAAGTTGATGATTGAAAATTACCCGTGTCATGGTTGAGAAAAATACTTATGATGCCGAAGCTTTTCTAGGCATTGAAATTACAAACAATTTGTACCATTGAAAAACACTGTTATTATTAACGAAATGAATACGGATATTTTTAATGTCTAAGTTTGCTATTAACATTTGTGTAATTTATTGCCGGCTATCATGGCTCGTTTCCACATGGAGTTTTTGGTAGACCTCGTTTTTTTTTTTTGCTTCTAAGGCAGTAATAACGGAATAAAAACTGTGCAAATCTCGCCGATATCAGGTAAAAGGAAGTCTCCCATCAAGTTCTACTACGAACTATGGTATAAAAACACGCACTCTATGAATCAAATATCAAACAAAAATGCTATCGTTATTGCTAAAAATTAATGTATAATTTTTACCTGGCTAAATCAGTTTGCAAATGTTCCGGCATCTCCTGTACATGCCACGAATCACAATACACATCGTATACCAATAAATCTTGGCTATAGCACTTTGCACCGTAACTTTGTGAAGTGTCATTATGAGTATTGCCGCCAAAGACCATCATGAGTCCATGATTTATAAAGTTGGCCGTATGTAGTAAACGTGCACTTGGTGCCGCAGACAATGAGGTCCAAGTGCGAGTGGATGGCTCGTATGCGAACAATTTTGAACTAAGCACCTGACTGGACTCACTCTCCGATATAATACCGCCATAAACATAGACCTTTTCAGTTAAATAATCAAATGCTGCGCTATGGCCGAAACCCCCTTTTACCACATAACCATACGTTTCAACAATCTTCCATTCACGTGTTCCGAAATTAAACTCTTGCACTGTATTCAGGTAACCATATTGTGGAGAATGCCCGAAAATTGCAATCATATATTGGTAATTGTTTTTTTCACCGAATCCTGGCACTAAAGTCGCCGTATGACCTGCTACTCGTAATGGACCACACATAGCATACGAAGTTAAAGCAGTTGAATTACATGAATCACTCTTAACCGTTATATTTTCCCAGGTTTTGGCAGAAACATCAAATGCCCATAACTCATTTGATATACCTCGTCCTTCAATCACACCGCCGTACATGAAAATTTTATCTCCATACATAACTGTCGAGGCTCCGTATCGTTTTTCAGGTACACTACCTGCGCCATCAATATGCAAGGTTTCCCACACATTGCCATTGAAATCATAAGTCGTCATTAGCTCTCCGCGACCGTACGACTCTCCACCTATTATATGAAGGGTATCACGCCACACAGCTGCACCATGTGATGCCGTGCCTGGTGGAGGGGGTGACTGTGTTGGATAAATAGTGGACCAAACACCAAGCGCCTTGAGTTGCCCGCAATCGTTGCCGCCAAAGCCTTCATTACACATGCATCTAAAATATGTGGAAAAAAACGAGTTACAAGATACATATAATAATAATCCTCTTTTTTGAATGAATTTTATTTTAAAATTCTAACCCACATAAACTAAATATTTCATATTATACATACTTACGTATGCTCGTACGTGTGTTATTGCGGTAATATATCTTATTTTGACGCTCTGAATACATAAATATTAATTTATGTGGGCTACAATCGTTTAACCTTTTACCTTTCTTCGTCCTCTTTACATGTGCCCTGGCCTTTATCCTCCGAGCAATTATTGGGGCATGCAGCTACATCACAAGCCTCACCTTTATACAAGGTATCACAAATGCAGTCACCATCACTGCATCTTCCATGAGCAGAGCACTCAAGATCTGATAGTAAGTTATAAGAATGTGAAAGAATCGAAAAGAAATAGATTGATTACCCACCCTCTATGCTTGTAGGACAACCATCCATTTTGTATGCTAGATTGAAACCAGACATATTGTAGGCATCATCGCTAAAGAAATGAAGAAGCGCTGTCCCTGACCTTGCAATCACCTGTGGTACTCTTCGTATAGCGAAATCAGCTCTATACATAAGTCCGCTTTAAAACAAATTGATAAGCAATTTTGGTTAGTTGTTACTCTTAAACATATGTATGTATTTATTAGGGTGGGTAAATTTTTTTTTTTTGACTATGCGCTTAGTTCTAAGCAAATTTGCCGAAGAAACCATGGGTCTAAAATCAATATGGATTTTGCCAAATTGCGAAAGTACCGTTCCGAGAAAATGTGAAAATTTTCACTCTTGTGTCCTCTGATGGACGTTTTAAGAAAAAGATAAGTGCAGGAATGGATTCCTCATACCAAAAACCATTTTTAGCATGTTTTTTGTGCAAAATTTAAGCACTTCTTTACGTCACTACAGCAAAGTGCTAAGCAAACTATTTTCGCAATTTGGCAAATTCCATATTGATTTTAGACCCATGGTTTCTTCGGCAAATTTGCTTAGAATTTACACCTAGAATCTTCCTGTGCTATATGTAGGTTCATAGTCAAAAAATCTAACATATAAATTGTTCCGGCCTAGTACTTATGTATCTATGTATGACTAAAATCTTACCTAAATACTGCTAGTAGTGGGGAATCCACACTATCGCCATCGTAAATATACAGGTGATCCCAACCACATTCAGTAGCAAATTCACGCAGGTGAATACGAATTGAAGGTGTTCGCAAAGAATTTGAATGGGGATGTCGCGCGTCGATAAGCCAACTACATTTAACACTAACCGAGTAATTTCCCTGTCCATCATGAATTGTTCCAGACGGATGGTATAATCTTGAAAAAAAAATGGAAGGAAATCATTGAAAAATAAAACAGTTGCAAAAAAGTACTGAATTTCCATCTTTAAATAATAGAAACCTCAAGAGTTACATCTGTATAAATGTATAGGGGTATTCTCTGAGTCTTGCAAAGCCCTTGCACGGTGCACGGATTGCACGGTTTGCAAAGCTGTCCCATACGAAAACCGGTTTTTACCGTGCAATCCGTGCAATATGTGCACCATGCAAGGCCTTTGCAAGACTCAGAGAATACCCCTTATATATAACAAAACGCAATTCCCTATTAACATATTAAATTGTCTAGGAATGCTTTTAAGCAATTGTAAATTAATAAGCGCAACAGCAACAGCAACAGCAGCAGCGATAGCGGCAGCGACAGCGGCAGCAGCAACAAAAGTAATAAAATACAAGTAAGAAAGTCTAAGTTCGGGCGGAGCCGAACATTAAATACCCGGCGCAAGTATTAAATATATGTTTCTTCACCTTTCCGAAACCTACCGCTAGATGGTAGGCCGGGGTGTATCAATTTTGAGTAAATTGGCGTCCTTCAATTTCGAAATATTGCATTTCAGGCATTTCTGAAATTTACCGTTATATGAAAAGCGGCCGTAATTTTAGTGCGATTTCAATAATTTTCAACGTTTTGCTGTTATGTGGCAAGCATAATAAAAATACCGAGTTTGGTACATATATGTGATCATAAGTGGGCGGAGCCACGCCCATTTTCCAAAATTTTACCTTAAACGAATTTCTTGGTAAAGAATTGTTGCAAGCATCAATTTTGAATAAATTAGCTTTAATATTTACTGATTTATCGACGATTTTGTATTTCTCTAAATTACCGTTATATGGGATGTGGGCGTAGTTATTGTCCGATTTTTTAAACTTTCGGCCATTTACCAAGGAACTGTGCCCAGTTTGGAAGAAATTGGTGCAGCGGTTACCAAGATATACACATGTAACCATAAGTGGGCGTGGCTACGCCCATTTTCCAAAAATTTATAATATTCTTATATTTCGTCTGAAAATTATTGTAAATATCAATTTTGAGTGAATTATCTTCAGTAGTTACTAAAATATAGCAGTTTTCGTATTTCCGGACATTACCGTTATATGGGAAGTGGGCGTGCTTACAGTCCGATTTCGCCCATTTTCAATACCAACATACCTTGGACTAATGGAAACCTACATACCAAATTTGGTTGAGATATCTCAATTTTTGCTCGAGTTATCGTGTACACGGACGGACGGACAGACGTACAGACGGACAGACAGACATGGCTTAATCGACTTCTCTATTCATTCTGAGCATTTATGTATACATTTGTCTATATCTATCTCGATTCGTTTCGTTACAAACAACCGTTATGTGAACAAAATTAATATACCCTTGTGCACAAGTGCGCTCGGGTATAAAAATGTGTGAAATTGTACACATATGCATATGTACATACATATGTATGTCATGCACCCGGAGTTTTGGTAAAATGAGTTTTTAAAAATTTTGTTCAGTTATTTAATTTATTTTATTATAAAACATAACATTTGTATAATAGGTTAGGTCAGAAGATATGTAATAAATTAACTGACGAAGACCTGCGTGTAAAATGAACTTTTCTCTCAAAGTTTCCACTGCTGGCAAATGCAAATAAGTATTAAAATTTTAAAACTAATTAATACAACTAAAGTAAAGTCTGTGGAAAATTAACAATAAAATACTTTTTCGCGAAATCTATAAAGGACCCTTTTATTTCTCAAAAAAAAACCTGGGTAACAGTTATTCGTCGCCACGCTGTATAGGTATATGCGACTCTAAAGTAAATTCAATTCAAGAGTCGAAGAATAAAGCCAATAAGACTCACATAACAGCATAAAATAAAGCTCCGAAAGTAGGCATTTATGAGGCCAATAAGAGTCATTTAAGAGCCTCAAAAAGAGTCCAAAAATAGCCGTATATGAGGCCAATAAGAGTCCAATATGACTCATATAGAGGTTCATTTGATGTATGAATTTAAGCTCATATATGTAGGCCAACCTTCGCAGAGAGGGAAACACCCTCATACACACACATACACGCACCCGCACACAGTACTTTGCTAAGGAAGTCGATTTTGTCAAGAGGGAGCGCGAAAACTGTTTTACGAACTCGTTAAGAAATTTCTCTACGAAATATAAAAAAAAAATCTGAAAAAATTCTGCAAGAAATTCTTCATATAGCAACATTATTTCTATGCTTTACCGATTTTCTTCAGAAATTTCGTAAAAGAATCGAAGTGTGCACAGATTATTTCATTATAGAAAATTTGACCAAAAAATCGGATGAGATCTTTACGAATTCTTTAAAATTTCTCTACAATTCATAATACTCTGAAAACATGACTTGCAGGTATGTTAGAATAGATTTCAAGTGTTTTTTTTAGTTGTTACCGGTTCAGTGTTTATCTGATAAATGCAATTACACATATCTACTTAAGACAAAAAATATATGTATATTTAAATTATAAATAATTATATGGGCACGTTACAGGCTAACCTAATATTCGCGGCTTGCGTTTTTATACGCACGCAGTCGAATTGGTTTTTTTTTTGCGTCACCCGAAAATTGGCTTGCGTGCGTTTGCATTTGATTTCATTAAGCGAAACGTCCAATCAAAATCTCACGCAGAACAAAAATTGGAAATTGAGTTAGCTTCATACGCACGCCGTTCAATTTCGGTTGGTCCCATACAAGTTGTATGTGCATGAGAAATTGTTGACAGTAAATTGGCGGCGTGCGTAAATATTAGGATAGCCTGTTACAACTTGATGTCACCAAGGCGAATTAATATAAGGTGATAGCAGGAGTACAAAAACAAACATTTACATGTATTTTGTTTTTGCTTTGGCTGCATAAACTGTCAAAATTTGTAAGAGTGTGTGTAGAAATTCAAACAAAATTTTTCAATTTGATATCAGAAGCCGTGCGGCGAAACACATACACAAAATCAGCTGAGCTAGTAACACCACCTTATATAAATTCGCCTTGGATGTCACCTTACTATAAAAAATGTGTTCAACAAATCTGCTTGCTTGGGTAGGCGACCCTTTTACAGATAGCAGGTGGGAAAGGTATATACGTTAAAATGTTAGTTACTTTCATTGAAGTCGAAGCGGTGGTTTTTAGATACAAATGTTTTACAGAATATTATTTAAAATCAGTATTGTATATCGCCAGATGCTATCCGTTGGCGGTGACGTCCACCAGACGGTTTAAAGTTCACGTAATCAATAGCTCTGATCCAGTACTCCACGAACTTACAGGATTTTACACGAACTTGCAGGAAGTTGCAGGAAAAATGTTCCCGTACTCCAAAATCCTCCAAAATCCTGTAAATGAGATCGACTTTTGGAGAGTTGTGTAGAGAATGAAGTTGCAAGATTTTACCCGAACTTTTTCTTCTGGTAAAATCATGAAAAGTGTCAAGCAATCACTGGTTGACGTTTTTACAGGAAAAATGGTTTTTTGTTCCCGTACGTTTTGTTGTTACTGACTTTTTACTCGCACTTCAGAGAGTAATTTTGCTGTTTGACAGTTTTACAGGATTTTTCACGAAAAGTATTGGATCAGAGCTAATATTTATTGTCATCCTATTACTTTGAATCAAACGCGTAGATACATACATGGCGTATGAGTAACAAATAAACGAATCACTAAATTTTACAGTCTGTTTTTTTAGTGAAGTAAGGTATCCACACACCTATGCGATTCTGTCGGTGCGAATCTGTCCCGACAAAAATTACAACAATGCCACACACTTATACGATTTTGCTGCAGCGATTTATTCGAACCTGTGAATACAGGTCTTCTTTTCGTCGTGCCGAAATCGTAGACTGATGCGTTTTCAGAAACATAAAGGTCAATACTCGGATTATTCCTGATAATATAAAAGTCTCGAACGTTCCATATTTAAATTGGGCGCCACTTGTATCAACACACGTCGAGCGCACGTTTTGTACATTCAAGGTTGTGTTAAAGCCTGTTTTGTTACAAAAAATTAAATTGATAATGAATTAAATCTATGGATAAACAAAGAAGTAATAAGTAAGTGGTCATATGAAAATGCGCAAAGATTTTTTGTATGGAAAATGAGCAGGAAAGAATGTTACTCATACGCCATGCACACGCATGAAAATATCTCGAAAACTTATCCATAGAATAAAAAATTAACTCGATTTTCGGAATCAGCGAGCAATGCTATACAATAATTGGATATGTAGTGGCGTGTGTTGAACATTTTTCCTGTAGAACAGTGTTATTTTTCAGTTTTTGTCTTTTTTTAGTGCTTTCTTTTGCCTTTTTTGCTATTTCTAGTGCCTTTTCCTGCCTATTTCGCTATTTTATTTTGCCTTTTCCAGCCTATTTCGTTTTTTTTTATAGGTTTTTAGGTCTTAAAAATCCGTTCCCTGCATATAACACTATTTATTACCTAAATTTCATTAATACGAAAATAAGACAGGTTTGGCGGCTCTGGGATCCTATACCATTATGTTATGAATTGTGGATTGTTCATTAGTCAATTGTTAATTTTTGAAATAAATGCATTAAAATAATGTCGTGGTTATTCATTTCCAGAATAATTAATTACCTACGTATTAATATCAAATAATTAAAGATTTCAAACTATACAGTCTGTTGATTCCCAGCCAGTAGTGGGTTTCAAATTTAAATTGTAAAACGCGAACTATTTCGAACAAGGAAACCAAGTAAAATACATAGTACACTATACGAATATGTAAACCAGGTTATGAGGAAATGTGAGGTGATTGAGTTACTGTCATAGTTGCGATTTTTTCCATAGACTTTTTTCTTAAATTTGCCATAATAATTAATGAGTTTATAAAAAAATATTCTGGTACGAAAACGTGATATAATAAAATGTAGAATCAAAACCCATCATTCTTTTTTCAATATTAATTGGTATTTTTTTGATGTCTCTTAAGTCCCACAGTCTAATT